GCCCGTGTAAAGCGGTTCTAGTCCATTCCAGCTACTTAAGAGATTGACACGGCGAGATAATATAATGGACGAAGCGGTCGAGGAATCGCGGCCTCCTGAATCGAGCAGCGGCTCTAATGGGCCAACACTGATCGTTGATAAATTTCGAAACGCCACGGGCCACCATCCGATTCTTCACCATCCGGGACCTGGGTGCAACAGTGTCGATTATGAGGCATAACGAAGCCGAGTTAACTCGTTTGTCCACGCTGTTACGAATTACACTGCAATGTACGCAGTCTTTGCTTTGCCATTTTCCCAACGAATCTATTACACGTTTCGTTTCCTTATTTTCCTACTTTCCTATTTTCCACTCTTCCACGGCCAAAAATACCCGAAGCAGAGTACCCAAGGAGCGTAGATATGGAAGATACAGGGGTCGATTCGGGGATCGATATTTACACGTTTAAAAGCGAAATTCCGCCGGAATAGAGGTTCCAATTTCGCATCTCGAATTAAACCAGGAAAACTTTGGGTGCCCGACGCGACGTCGCCCGTAATTCACGAAGATCCGCGCGACGTGTACCGGGTGCTCTCGATATAACGGCTCGGCGTGCGGTAACAGCGACGGCGCGGCGACGCTCTACACCTGCACCTCGCAGAATTTAATCACGATGGTTACTCTGTCCGACCGAAACCAATTATTGCGCAGACGTACCCACACGCGCGCTTACGCCGTCCAGTTATGCGAACGTCGCTACGCACCTATATAAATCTCCGTACACCCATATGGATATAATGTAGCCGCATTAATTTCCTTCCGAACGCACGCGATTCCGCGTTTGTCGCCCGCCGAAATCACCGACCACTGACTGTGGTACTCTATTACTGCTAGACGACCGTGATAATTCGTTTAGCAACTCTGTCAAGTCCGTTGACCGATGTTGATCGAGAGTCGGATTGAACGTGGATGGAATTGAAACGTCGGAAAACTTGGGAAAACGAGGAAATTTCCTGATGATGGTCCAGACTGATTCGAGATTCGGGAGCTTGCTCGTCTGCTTGTATGGCAGCGTGGTCGTTTAACCTCTATCCGCCGGCATCCTCTCGGTTCCCTTTCATCGATGCGCGCGACGCGGAGCAGATCGCATCCTAAAACAGAAGTCTCTCTGCGGAGCTTATAGACGGTTGACGGTTAAAGCCTGGAGGAAGCAGGGTGCACGGCTCTGTCTGGTAGCATGGACGGAGGAAAGGAAAGGGGCGGAGGAGGGCCCGGGGCGAAGGAGGACGATGGTGTTGGCACTCTCGGGGGCCATTATTGATTGTTGTTGATAATTAGCCGGTACAGGCGCGTCAATCACGAGGCAAGGCGAGGTTATTAGGCTGTTGGTTAGCACCGGCCCGATGGCACACGTACACGCACACCGGTGCTTGCCGTCACGCAGGATACGTGTGCACGTTGTACAGGTGTCCGCGCCTGTGTAGACGCGTGCATGGCCGTGCTCCGCGTGTGGGCGTGTGTGCGCGCCGCCATTGAGCCACCCGATTACCCCCCACAATTCGATCTAATGCGCTACGCTGCGATGCGAGAGAAGGTTAATTATGCAGTTAATGAGAGGCTGAATATATATACCCCACAGGGTGTCGGGATGGTCCCGGCGAAAAGAGGATCATTTGGATCCCGTACGTGCTCGATTGTTGAATTTGGTTATGGTCGAAGAACGCCGGAAAACGGTCCTCTATTCCCTTCCCGTTTTAAATTAATCGCGTTAGAACATTCGATTCGAGGTGTGTTTAAACGCGTGCACAGTCGGGAAAACTCGGTCGCTTTTTCATTCACTCGAAACTGATATGAAACCCATCCAACGTTTTGTTCTCGGGCCCAGCCGTGGGTATAAATATGCATATAGGAAACGTTTCACGGGTGTGGGTGAACGTGCACGCTGGCTACGTGGATGGCAGCGAGTAGCCCCGACGGAAATGTCTGTTCGTCACGGTGACCGCGGTAACACCCGTTCGAACGGTGTGCCCCCGCAGAATCAATTTCTTCCTCGATAACGGCCGCTCGTGTCGCTGGATACCGTAATAAGGACGGATAATGCGGGAGATGGCGGTAATTTGCAGCGAAAAGGAGCGAGTAATAGTTTGCCGGAAGTGCTGGTTACGCGGTTACGTGTAATAACTTGTTCGACGACGACGAAGACGGCGATGACGATGACGACGACGACGACGACGACGACGATGAGATTCGTCGAGCCAAACGCTAGCTACTCGAGCAACGTTACACACTTTCCGCCTTGGTAAATTGTTAAAGGCTCCCGACACCGAATTTCCATTTAAGACTGGAAACTCGCGTCGCTTCGATTTCAGAATTTTCCAGCCCGGTTTTTTCCCCTTTCCCGATCGAAGCGCTGCGAGCGTATCACCGAGGAACTTACGCGCTACGCAAAAACAACGAAAATCCAATTTTTCCCTTTTCACAGCTGGCCCCTCAATTTCCGTCGCGCTGCGCTGAGCAAATTGCGTCGAAGCGTTGATTTCTACGATAAATTGCCGGATTGTGCGTCACGGAATTTACCGACACGTGTATCCTCGTGTCTCCATGTCGAACGCCGCTTTCGATTGCCCAATGCGTCCGATAACGAGCCCCATTATCGTCAATTAATTATATTCCCCTGTAAAACTACGCGGTTTCCCTAGATACTCGTTTGCTCTAACTTACCGATTACGCCAGCTACGTTAATGTCGTATCTATTAAAAATAACCGTTGTAACGAATAAAATTCACGCGATAACTTCGATAACTTCGATATCGTGACTCGTAAGTTTCCCTTTCTCCTTTCACGATAGCGCGTTAACTACGAGCACGAAATACTCCACGCTCGCAACCGCGAATGAGCCTGATTTCGTCCGCCATTAGCGATCCGCGAGCGTAATTTTTAACCCGACTACCCGGTATACGGAAAGAGAGTATCGTCGCAATCTGACGTACAACGTTTTTCGCGACAGGCATGATTCTTCGCGAAAATTTGCGAAAATTTGCGAAAATTCGCGAAAATTCGCGAAATCTTGTCTCGTTCGTGGAGCGTTGTTTAGCGAGCTAGGAAGGAACAGGTTCTCGCAAAAGCGAATCGTTCCGACGTCGTTTCGATACAGCGGCACGTCAACATTCGATTAGCGGGACTTTTGATTCGGACAGATTCGAAATTGCTCGTTCGGTAAACTCATTACGATCTCGTAAATATTGGAACGGATAATTAATTGCTCGCGTAAGATTCGGGGAAATTCAACTAGAATTTGACGCGCGTTTGCGTCCGATCCATTACAGATATCGCAATCGTTCGTTAATAATTACGAACCCGCGTGAATCGATAGTCGTCGATAGAGAGGGCACGGGGTGGCATTAAAATTAAACGATACGTCGACCGAGGCACACGCGACTTCGATCGTAGCGTAAATCGCAGACGTAAATCGGAGACGTAAATCGGAGACGAAAATCGGAGCCATCGAAAGCGTGTCGGGACTAAAAACGCGACGTCTGGTTAAATGGACGGGATGCGATAAACGATTGCCATACGGGCTAGTACAGGCGAAAATGATCGAAGCGAGTTTCACCGAATTTCGTTAAACCGGTAATCTCGTTAGCGAGATCGAATCGGGTGGAGATCAAGCGTCGTGCTTGGAATAAAATCCAGGCTAACCGAATCTTTTCCAAGTCTCTTCCTCCCGTCGTTTCCTAATATCCTTTGCCGTAAGAGACGAGGCCGGAAACGAGCGAAATTTCTACGTAGGAAATCGGCGACGAGATCGAAATTGCACGCGAGCGACGAGAATTCGATCCCGACTCCACACAGGAGTGATGAGCGTTACAACACTTGTAATGGCTAGCATTATACGCGCATAATAGAGGTAATAGCCGGGACTGGGATAAATCGATCACCATTACCGTACCTATTAACCGTAACGACCGTTTCCGAGGAGACCTGACCACTCCCGTGGGTTCCAGGTGAGAACAGCTGCAACTCCACTGGCGGCGGCAGCGACGAGGAACTCGGAGCGGGCTGCGGGGACGATTTGAACGGGAACGGAGGCAAGAAGAAGCATCGTCGAAACAGGACGACCTTCACCACTTACCAGCTGCACGAGCTCGAGAGAGCCTTCGAGAAGTCTCATTATCCGGACGTGTACTCCAGGGAGGAGCTAGCTATGAAAGTCAATCTTCCGGAAGTGCGAGTCCAGGTGAGTTACATACGCGGCTGATTCGAGTTCAGGGGAGGTGATACACGGTGAGAGGAGAGCGTTCGCAAGCTCGGACTAGTCGAAAGTGGAACGTGTGCCGTGGAAAGTTGCAGAGAAAATGGGGGCTATCGAGTTTCACGATCGGAAATTTATTCCTCGACTTTAGAGAGACTCGGCTCGGCGAATTTTAACGCTATAGCATCTTCGCTCCCCGTGGCGTAATCGCGTCGTTAAGTAGTGTGAAATGGCACATTACCGTGTCGCGGGCACACGCTGTCTTAACGTGGCAAAGTTTCCAGGACTGACGACGCAAACGCGAGGGCGACTTTGTTCCGTAATCGGAAATCTGTCGGTGGATCGGCGATTAGGAAGAATAATTGTCCGCAATCGTGTTGTTAATCGGCATAAAACGAGAGAGAGATCGCTTTCTCGCGGGTACGACGAATATTCATACATTTTTAAATAATCACCCGACCAAGGAGTCACGCGACTAACGAGGTATTAACTCGTTAACCCTCGCGACACCGGCGCGCGATCCTGTTACCTTAACGATTTCGCGAGAAAGAAGGGTGCGAGGAAAGCAGCAGTCGCGAAGGAATCGTCCGGTCTCTTCGTTTTCCCCGATATTTAATAAACCACCGATCTCTCTGTCGCCTCGTTTCTCGAGCAAATACCGCGAACGCTACCAAACGGAGGAAAGCGAGTCTTCGCTCGATCCACTCCTTCTGTCAACCTTCGCGTGCCACGGGAAACGTTCTTTTGTATCGTTTTAAACGCGCGGAGGAGGAAGAAGAATGGAGAAAGACATAATCGAGATAGAGTCTAAGACAAACGCGCTTGGAGAATTTATTCCAGACCCGATGGTATCGAAACGAGCGAAAAATTCGCACGATCCACCTGCAATTAACGTTCTCGAATCGTTTAGAGGGTAATCCACTGGATCCGTGGACGCGAGGAATCGATCGCGAATCTACCGATTTATTATTTCTCTCCCTTCGTTTCCTCTCTCCCTCGTTCCCTCTCGCTCTTTCTGTTCCACTGGCACCGAGCGGATACGAGTGTCGTGCGCGCGGCCAGCGAGCGGGCCGAGTTTAATGGCAGCGTTTCCGTGCAAACAATCGGAACAGCAATCGCCGGCTGACGCTGGCCCCGACGTATTAAACTAAATTAAATTAATTATGTGCGTGACAGCGATAAAAGCACGCAGTCGCATGCGACGACGCATCGATTAGGCTCCCAGGGGCACGCTTTCCGACCGTGCCACCTACGAACGTGTACACCAGCAGCGTAGTTTGTCGGATAATAACCCGCCAGTGCGCGGCCATTCCAGGCGCACCTGCGTTATTGCCTGTCCGATCGCCAGGTATCGATCATCCCGATTTTTCGCTAGATCGCCCGCTCGAATCTACTTGATCTATCTGGCAGCAGATTTATCGCAATCCCGACACCCCCGATCCTATCGACGTCCTATGTACGACCTCCACGGTGTAGTCCCCGTCAACCCGAAGTGGAAGCACAGCGAGCACTCGTGGAAAGAGAAACGATTACCGACGATCATCGAAGAAGAGAATAGAAGAGTACCTCGCGAACGAAGGATAACGCCACGGCTCGGTTGGCCGTCGGAGAAGACTCGCAATTAAAAATTTAAATTACGTTTAAAACCTGCCGGTGGTGCGCGCCATCACCCCCGCATCGCGTCCTTCCACTTTTTCCAATTTCTCCGCAGAAGGGTTTGCCGACCTTTCTCCTTTCCCTCCGTTTCTCCCTGTCGCTTATATCGCTGCCCCTTTCGCTACTTCTTGCGAGCACGAGAGCGGGAGAGAGCGGCAGAGAGCGGGAAGCGAGGAGCTGGAAGGTCGAAAAAGGGAACGCCAGCTCGCCCCTAAGGTACACCTAATCGCTTAAGCTTATTACGCGAGCAGACAAGGCGAAGGAATCAGCCGCGAGGCTACGAGCGAAGAGGAGCGAGAGAAAGAGGGCCGGCTCGTAGGGGTGAAAGAGGAAGGGAGATAGGTGGTGGTTGCTCGTCGGTAGGCGCAACGAAGAGGCGGACGCACGTTCGGTTTCATCATTTTTAATTGATAGCGCACGCCAATCCTATCTGTCGGATTTATTAGGCCGCTCGACGAGATGGTTTTGCGGAGGGGTGGAAGGGGTTGATAGCGAAGGGAAACGGAGCTTTTATTGGACAAACCGGGTTGTTTCGGTGGTAGGGACCCGGTCGGTGGTCACCATAGCCCGATTGTGTGACCCGAGAAAACGCGTTTTCCAGATTTTCCTGCATCCTCTTGCCTCGAGTATATGCTCGCGTACGCTGTGCACGTACACTCGCGCGTGTGCGTGCTCCTCTATACGCGTGTAGGCAGATTGATTGCGGGGATTAACACTGTTTTCTCGCGATAATTATCATCCTCGGAGTACGGTGATTTTATTGGATACGCAGCTCCGCCTCGCCTCCGCCGATATCGAAACGTCGAATTGCCTGTTAAGCTTGTTAGCGTAATTCAAGTTTACGCATCGTTTTCAACGCAGCGCGCGTAATCGATTTGCAAAGGGCGGCAGGAAGAAGAAGAAGTAGAGTCGAGTGCCGCCATTTAAACGATTTCCAACACTCGTCACGGTGGATCACTTTGGATCGCGATTGCCGATATTCTTCTAATTTATGCACGTCGGAATTTCGTTAACGAGCGAGAGCTGCTCGTCCACGTTTGGAAATCGAATCATCGTTGCACGAAACGGGGTGGAAGGAACACCTTCGCGAGGAGGAATGGAAAGGAGGCGAAGGAGATAAATTGCACTTGTTAATGCGAACGTGCTCGATCAATGGACAAAATCGTTTCACGAGCGAGAAATATTTCTTCACCCCTCTCGTCCTCCATTTTCCTTTAACCGAGAGCGAAAGAGGATCTTATCCTCGAGATTGACGAAACTCGCGAAAATGCACGCGTTTCCTCCGACTAACGGACACTTAATTCCCGCCAATGGGATAATTTCTCCCTCTTTGTGTTTCTTTCGTGCACTTAACCGGGGAATAACGAAATTTCAGCGTCGTACATTATACCATTAGGCGCATCGTCGACGCGCGTTTCGCCTCGCCGTCACGCGATCGTAAGTTCGACTGTGAAAAAAAGGAAAAGACTCGGCACAAGCTAGCGATTTGTTAGAGCTGAAATCGATATAAGGGCGAGCTTCGCTGGAAACACTCGACGAAATTAGCTTTATCGTGAAACACATGCTGAACGGGAGTGTTGGTCGTTTGTTGGAACGGACAGTGGCTCAACGCGAAAATGTCATTTAGCAAAACAACGTTATTACGAACATTAGACTGCATCGCGAATTGAATCGTCGATCGCTCGATTTTGCTCGATTCCGTTGGAAAAACCACGCCGAGGATCGCGGAGGAGTGGCGAAACGGACGCGAATTCGACGAGCTATTCGAGGATCTAGTCGACGATCTATTCGACGATTTCACGGAAATTCGTTATCTAAGGAAAGGCGTAGCGCGGAAATCGCGATCTGGCGGAGCCGTGACATTTCGCGGCGAATCGATGGCCGACGTATTTTCCCGGACGAACGGGGAGAGGATGGAATCGACAATCGTCGTGGAAAAGGCACGAAGAGGCGGGCGGAAAAAAGCGGGCAGATTGATTTTTCGCGGTAGGCCAACTAATTTGGAGAGAGATAAAGGGAGAAAGAGAGGGAGAGAGAGAGAGAGAGAGAGAGGGGTTGGCCGCGGCCGGATGGTCGATCGTCCGACGCGCTCGACCGTTCGACGATTGCCAATTGGAAAAATACTCCAATTCGATTACAATTTTTTTCGTCCGCTGGCACACTGGGCCGCGGAAGAATTTCAAACCGCTCTCGCCTACGACGAGAAATACATTCGTCGAGCGCGATAGATGGGCGTGGATAGCAAGGGGGTGGCGGCGCACCGGGGGTGGGTGGAGGGACGTGAAACTAATATCGAAGCTGCAATCGTTTCTGAAAGCTTTTGAGAGCGCAATTTAAAAGCGATCTTCCCTGTTTTCGTTCCATTTACAAAGAAAATCGGAACCGCCACGCGTCTACGCTCGAAAAATATTTTCGACGATCACGCGGAAGTAATTCTACGCGCGGTGCACGCTGCTCGCGACGCGATCTCGAACGAGAAGCGCGGGATGCGTGAAAACGGATTAGTTTCTAACAAGAAAATCATCTTTGCCAGGAAGCAGCAACGTGTGCGCGGAATAAATGGGGCTTCTACGGTGCTTCGCGTTATTTACCGTCACGTTGGCATGGAAACCCCGGTCAAAGGCAAGATCCACGCGTCGTTCTGCAATTATTTTCGTGCGTACCAACTGCGTTAATGATATTCCACCTCGATTAACCCTCGTTTTAACCGATAACCCTGCGTGGCTTGGCCATAGCCTCGTTTGATCTTTAACCCCATAGACAATGTGCCCCTTCGTGGTTCCACGATTTCTTTCCCCACGGTTCCACTTCGATTCCACGAATTGCAACGATGGTAACGAAAATCGAGGAGAAGGAAGATGCCTAATAAAGTAAAATTCTTCTGGTCGTCTGGTCTTCTGGCCGTTGCACGGCGTCGGTGGCGGTGTTTGTCGGGCCGTTTAATTCGGTTTTATTAGGGGGCCAAATCGTGATCGTTAGCGCCGACACGAGGCCGGCACGAATCGCAGGTGACTGTCTGGGTTAGGCGCAGCTATATCTACGGGGTGTCAAATTAGTCACGCACGCCGCCTCCGCCTAGCGGGCCGGCGATCAACGCCCGTAACCATGGCTACTGCCGCGAATTTCTCCGCACGACGACTCCGCGCCGCTTTCCGACGCAATTGCGCACGCAATGCGGGAGAAGCGTGCAGAAAATTAACGAGCGTGCCAGCCTTGGCCCATGCGCTACCGACGCCACGCTTCTTCCTAGGGGTTAGTCAGGACCACGGTTTTTCCATACTTTTCCCACCTTTCCTCTCCCCGGCTCGATAGGCGATCATCCTCGAGAG